ATATAGATATTTACCTATTAAATTAACCATCTTTTTTCATATAACAAAAATGTTATCTTTTAAAAATTATTATATTAATAATATATGTAATGGTAAATTAATATATAATAGTACACATAAATTCCAATATAATTTTTGTAAGTTATATGAATTATTCAAATATAAACAATAAAATTAATGTATTTTACTAAGTGCAGAATAATATTTACACACATGTTTAAAGCCTTAGAACGGTCGTTAAGAAATATAATTGAAATTATAATAAAGACTATATATGATAAAAATATAGAAGGAGATAGGTTATTTCCTTGTATATATGAATTTAATAATCTATTGTATAGGGGTCTTAAAGAGAATTATTTAGGTTATAACTTTTTTTAATTCTTTAAATATGGAATTTTTAACAACAACAATTACTAGATGCAAATAACATCATCTAAAAAAATTTATTCTTGATCAGGTATTAGTATTCATATTTGGTAAAAGTAATAAATTAAATAATATATTATTATGTGTTATTTGTTATTTTGAGGAGTATGGAGAAAAAACGTCGTGAATACTGAATAAATAATACAATAGAAGTTTAATTCAATAAATTAATTAGGTAGGTTATAAATTTACATAAAATATATATAAAAATTTCATGTATTTTTATTTTTTTTAATTTCTTTTAGGACATATAAATGGATTATCCTACAATTGTTTGAAACACTGTTTATTCTAAAAAATTATTACAGTTTTTATTATATATAATTTTATATCATAATTTCTTTGCATAATGCAACATAGCGCATTATCATTATATAAATGTAATAATTTTATATATTAAATTACAAATAAAACATTTATCTATGAGATAATTTAACATTAGAATATTATATATATTATATGGAAAGGTAAAGTTTTTTTTTAGGAAATCTACTTTTTTTTTTTTGAAAGAATTTGCACAGATTTTTCTATGTAAATTCCATATATAGATTAAATAAATTATTTATTTTATCCATTTTTACGTAAATTAATTATATTATTCACATATATATTAATGGTATTACGAGCATGGAAATGCTCGAACATTAACATAAATACATAGTCTAAAAAGTAAAACATAATATTAGTTCTTCTATAAACAAGCTGCATGTGTCATAATATGATGTTAAACAAATAATTTAATTTATAAACACGAGAACAATATTATGTATTTTAATAAGCGTATATATAATATATATGTATTCAATTTTCAGTTTATATGATTATACCTTTTTGAAATTTCCACAATTGGTGTACACATATTTTTTCTCAATATAGAGTTACCTATAAATATTTGCTACAACTTGCAATATTGTTTAAACATACATAATAGTTAATTGTATAATATCTTCCTGTACATGTTTATATGCATGTTTTTATCATATTTTTGCTTTCTATTAATTTGAATTTCAGTAAAATATTAAAATAATTTAGAAAAAATATCTCAACTTCTAATGAATGTGAATGTTATTAAAAAAATAAATAGAGGACAAATTGAGAATTGTTTAAATGTTTTTGGAACAAATTTAGAGAATATTAAAAAAAAACATTATATATGAGTACTCTTAATATCCATGTACATTGCGTGGATTTGTGTTACATATGTAATGCAACTATAGAAAAGAATTTTAAAGTAAATATAGCTACGCTTATAATAAAAAGATATAATTATGTTTAAGAAAAAAGGAAAAATATATTACATTGAAATATTTGTATAATGGTTTTAAATGTATTTAAAAATCCCAAAACTGAATATGTATATATAAAAAAGAATATAGTTGACTAAGATTAGAACATTTATAGCCATAAGTATATTCAGGTGAAAATATAATTGTAATGATATATTTTATCATTTTTTATTGTAGAAGTAACATCTTTCGAGCTTATCCCATATTATATCATAATATGATATTATAAAATAATATATATATAATATACAATAAGTTATGAATAATAAAATTAAAGGCAACATAAGTAATAATGGAATTTAATGCATCCCCCCAAAAATGTTATATACTGAAGGTGGAATAATTATATAATAATGTACATAGATAGAAGAATATACATATTTAGAAAATGAAGCATCATTAATTTATTCGAGGATATATTATTTGGTTCACCTATGATTATGAATGTAATCTAAGGCTTTTACTCACTATTAGGAGTCTATATTTTTCAGAACGTTTGCTTGTTGGCACTTTAATTAATAAATTAATACGTTATGACGAAATAAATATATCACACCATAATTTCATATCATTCAATAATGTTATAATAATGAAATAGTTTTATTATAATTATGAATTTAAATTTTTCTTTTATTTATATATTTTGAAACGTAGAGATATAAAATAATTTCTTTAACAAGATATATAATTAGATTAAATAGTTATCATTTAGACAATAAAAAAAACAGCATATTTATTAGTGAATAACTTGTCATATTCGTAACAATATTCTTTCAAGTAATGCATATCATTTATTTTAAAATTTGTTAAATGAATACCTACTTATGTATGAAAGGAAAAAGGAATTTATAATAATTGCTAACATAACTACATAAGGAAATGAATTAACATGGATGGAAATGAAAATGGTAACAATTATTTAAAAAAGTGTATTGAAGTTTTCATATATTAGGAAAAAATATATATATATATATATTTTTAGCTAAAACATCAAAAAAGTATGCGTCATAGGGAGCTCCGAAGAAAAACGACATAAATGTTTATAATAGAATACAATAAATATTAAGATTATAGATATTTCATGAAAATATATACATAAAAATGTTGGACATGGTCATTTACAGTAAATATAAAGTTTTCATTTAAAACACTCTTAATAGAAAATTCCAAAAACCTATGTAAATCTTCCATTTTTCCTTAATTATATAATAATTAAATTGGATTTATATTATATTAATGCTTATTTTTACACTATATAATTGATATACTTTGATGTTCTATTGAATATAATAAATATATAAATATATATTTTTTTCATTTTTTTTACTTATGGTTTTCTTTTCACTACAACCATATATATAAATAAAAGAATGGATTAAAAAATTTAGTTTACTTAATTTCGTTATGAATATTGGAATGCACAGCTAATATACATCTAAATAGGTATAAGAATAAAATAAAGATATACATATATTATCACACAATATATACCCTAAAGCATGTATCGTATAAAGGTTAAAAAAAAACAGACATGCGTATAACACAGAAACGCATATTAGACATATCTTATTATTTTGTGTAAAATATTTAATAAAATATCTTTAACTATTATTTTTATTGATATTTTAATCTATATTATTTATAGAGACATATAAGTGCTTTTCATTAGATAATATGATTAGATATGTCTATACTATTTTTTTTTTTCTTAATGTATCTTCTTCCAGCGATAATTTTAGAACTAAAGAACACTTTTCATAATATTTGAGCAAATATATTATATTTTTTATCATAATAATTTATGATAAAAAAAAATATATACCTTACATATATATATATTTACAAGATATATATAATATATATTTCATAAAAACATTTTAACATAAAGATTCCGGAGTTTGTTATTTTATCATATTCACAAAAGTAATATTCAAAATGATAATAAAAAAAACTATCTCTGAATACCTTATAGTTATAATAAACATAACTTTTCAGAAGCATTATGTGTATACGTAAATGTTATTATAATGACATCCGTACAAATTTTAAATCCATTATAATTTAAATAGTATTTTTTGTGTAAATAGAATACCCCTGAATACTTATGTTATTTGGAATTATATATTTGTTGATTTTGTTATATATTCATTTATTTTTGGAAAATTTAAATAGAAATATATTTTTTATTGAAGAAAATTTTTTAATTATAATTAATTGAATTTCACAAAAAATTATTATAATATCTCTTTTAATATATTTATTACATATAAACATATAACTATGTGTTTTATTCTTTAATAAAAAAACCTACTAAAATATGTAATGAACAAAATGAAAATAAAACTCATTACATTATATTCAAAAAAGCTATGAATACTTCGGTAACTATCTTTATTCTTATTTTCACAATAAGAATATTCTAAAATTTTTAATCTAAATATAAAAATTTACATTAGATATATTAAACAGGCATAAATATAGTGGATAGTATTCATATAAATGAAAAAAATATTAAAATTATAAAAAAATATATAATAAATGGTAAAAGGTAATTTATAATGGAATCATATCCTATGTTAAAAATGTATGAATTCTGCATGTTCTAAAATATAATATCTATGAAATATGCTATTATAATTTATATTTAATTGCCATAATATTTAGAAAATAAATGTTAAAACATTAATATAAAAATTTAAAACGTAATGTAAATGATAAAGCAGTAGTACCTGTATCAGTTATATATATAGTGGCAATTATATTGATGCCATACATCGAACCTACATTTAATGTATAGTTACGTTCGTGTAAATATATATTTAAGATATCAGAAATTATTACAAATTTAATCCACATTGAATGATATAAATCCTTATATAATTATACATAATATGTATAATATTAATCTATAAGTATGTAAATTGGATAATTCGTTTGTATATAATTTTATTTTTATAAATATTAAAAACTATGAAACACTAAACTAAATCATAATTTAAAATAATGTATCATTGCTTTTTTTTATTTAATTATATCAATTAGTAAGGAATGTTGATTTTTATTTCTAGTTAGAAGTATAAATAATAGTATATATGATTTATATATAGCCACATATTACATATTAAAGAAAAACATAGTGTAACATTCATTAGAATTATTATATAAATTCTATATCCAATATATAATAAATATATAATTCGTAAAATTATAATATTCTTATTTCATAAATGTAAAGATTTATACCACATTTTATTAAATAATATTAGATAATTAGACAAAAAAAAAATGAAAAATGTTACCAGAATTATATTCTTACATTTTTATATATATTCCATTAGATATAATACTGTTATACATTCTTTTTGATGAAACTATTCTGGAAAAAATTTATATATATATTTTTTTTAATTTTTTTTATTTTATAGAGTACTGGCTTCTATAAATTACCATCTGTTGCAATTTATGATGAATATAGTAATATCAATATTAATATAGAAAATTATGAAATATATAATAAATTAAATAATATTTATAAAAATCAAAATTACGTTATTAATCTATGGAAGAAACTTGTAAACAATTTAAATATTATTAATAATAGAATAAGCGAAGATCACTCTTTTTCTAATGACTGCAAATATTTACATTATTGGTTAAATGATCAAATTATTAAAACATTGGACGTTACTGATAATGATAAATATTATGGTTTTGTTATTAAATTCTATTCAGCTTGGTTTGATATTTACAAATTTATTTCTTCCAGCACATATAAGTGTGAACCTGATAGTGGACCTCTAATTATGCTTAATAGAGAAGATTTCAGAATTAGAAAAGAAATGTACGATTATTACTATAATTTTACTAAGCTTAGTAATAATGAAGGGCCTAATTTAAATGAGTGTAGTGAAACCTGTAAATACTTAAGTTCTATGATTAGTAAGTATAATGATTTTAAATCTATATGCTCAGTGGAAAAAAGCAACTTATGCATATCTGAATTTAAAGATTATGAATCCTATAATCCATATAAACTAATTTCTAAATTAAATTGTAAAGAACAAGCAAAATGTAACATATCACATAAATCAAGGGTGCATAGTGTAGAATTAGCAGAAGAAGTTATATCTGGTATTGTAGATGTTGCAAAAATTGAAAAAGAGATTTATACCAATACTCTTGGTAGACATCGTATTATTATTCTCATAACTTGTGTACCTTTTGTTGCTTTATTTCTACTTTTTCTGCTCACTCGAGGGGTAAATAAATTTTTACATTATAAAACACCACAATCCCTTGCGAATAATAATATTATGTTGTTCTGTATTTTATATTACAAATTAAATAATATTTATATCATGTAAATATAAATTTTTTTTCTGAATATTAGATATATCTTCTTAAATCATGGATAAATAAGCTAAATTTAATAAAAAGGAAAATTTTCAGTAAACAAAATGATGAAAAATGTGGATATAATTTAGCATATCCTTACGATATTGAAGGTATAAATGATAGATATATAATGTATCATACATCTTAATATATTACATAAAATAAATTTCAAATATAAACTAGGTATCATTTAATTGTTATCAGGTGTATTAATTGTAATGAATTTATATTTCCGCTATATTTCAATTATGAAAATACATATTTTTCAATATATATTAATTAAAAATATTATTACTTGTTTCAGTGTTAGGATTTAGGATTAAGGTTTTATGTTTAGGTTATCAGAGTTCAGATTATAGTTTATACTGTATCAGTGCTTAAATTTTAGTTATATTTAAATTATTTTTTTGTTCACGTTAATGAATTTACTTTTGCTATTCATATTTATTTATGTATGTGTCATATTTTATATTTTGAGCTTAATATTTTTTTATTTAAATTTAATAATTAATTTCATTATTAAATTAATATATATTATTGTTGTATTCTCTAGTAAATATGGATTTTATTTGTTCTATTTTTATTTCCTAATTTTTGAAATTACTAATAATGATGATTTATATTTTATTTAATATGAGTAATTCACACAAAATTAATGAATCGTATAATTATATATTTATCTATTTAATAAAAATAGGTATCATTGTAATATATGATAATATTTGTAATAAAAAATATCATGTTAACACTGTGATTCTATAAATTATTTTATATATTTGTGGAGAAATATACTTATATGTTGTATCATTAAAAATTCTTAGGAATATATAATAGATATAAATATTGAATGTAGAAAAATATAAAAATAGAGATATTTTTAATTTTTTAAATGATATGTTTTCATATAAAGAATATTAACGAGATAAAATAAGAAAAATCTGGTTTCATGATTATATGAATATTCTTTTTACATTAAA